AACATGATACATTAAGTGAAAAAAATCAGATTATATATACTGATTTCTTTCTTTGTTTAAAGTCTATATGTAAACACACAAACATGATTTAAGATACAAAGAATAACAAAATAACATTTTACAATGAACGTGAATTATTCCTGTAATCAGAAAGAGAAATCGAATAAAAGCTATTTTTGAAAGTTAACATAAAAAGTCACTATAATGCGCTATTATTCCATTTTTAAAAAAAATCTTACTCATATAAAGCTAACTTAAAGTTCAGTATGAAAGATAATATACATCTGATACAGCTATCTAGATTACTGTTAAACAGGGTTGTTGCTAGCTGCCATTGAGTCGGCCCCCGACTCAGGATAACCCATGTACAACGGAATGAAATGTTGGCCAGTTATAGATCAAACTGCTGTGATCCATAGGATTTTCACTGGCTGATTTTCAGAAGTAGATCGCCAGGCCTTTCTTCCTAGTCCGTCTTAGTCTAGAAGCTCCAGTGAAACCTTCTCAGCATCACTGCAATACACAAGCCTCCACTGACAGAAGGGTGATGGCTACGCATGAGGTGCACTGCTGAGAATCGAACCTGGGCCTCAAGTGTGGAAGGTGACAATTACGCCACTGAACCGCCACGGCCCCCGCAACAGGGTACTGGTAGCAAATCTAGTGTAATTCTTCAGACTTTTTGTTTTCTCTAAAGAAATCACACGATATCAGTTTGTTTGCCTGCTTTTTACTTAGTTTCCAATACAGCACCACTGTGGTTATGCAAACTTCTAACAGGATTTCAAATAGCTTAGGAGTTATTTGCAAGTGCTAATCAATGTTATTTTATGAAAGAGTACAAACGCTGGCTATTTCTGAAAACCACTCAAGTTCCTATTAGATGACTCCAAACCCAGAGTCCCCTGCCTTCTATCCCAGTCACCTGCCTCTCAGGCTTGTATCTGACAGCTAAGTGCTGAGAAATTCACAGGATATACCTTATCTAGAAAACTGGCTGAACAACTTCAACCCTATTTATCTCACAAAAACCAAATAAATTATGCATCAAGCCCAATAAACAGAACCTTTTGGGTGCTAATAGCAAGTCAGCTCAGTAACCCCGCATTAGAGGAAAATTACTAAATTGTTTTAAAATAATCCTTCTGTATGAAGAAAATTTCCATGAAAAACTGTAATAAATTTAGTTTTATTTATTTATTTTACATGAAATGACTTTACATCACGGATATAAAACTGCCCTAGTACCACTACCGCAGAAGAAAAGCTTACATACTATTAGTCTGAGATAACTCCTTGGACACACTACCAGCAGAGCCTTGTGGTACAACATTCACATTCTCGTCACGTTGAGGAGACATGGGCTCTTGTTTAATCTGAACTGATGAGTCTGGAGCAGGGACAATGCCGGAGACTTGGAAAATAGAAGACGTGGATGATGGAGACACCTGGGAAGGGTCCAGGAAAACTGGGAAAAAGGGAGTAGGCAGCAGCGTGGCATCAGCAGATGTCTGAGATCTACTGTTCCTTCGTTCTCGTGAAAGGTTACAGGGAACCTGGTCTGGGCGCTCAGAAGGTTCATACGTTTCTAGAATGGGAAGCATACATACAAATGTAAAAATATTATCTGCAAAGTGACTGATATCTGAGCCAATTCATATTTTTAAAGAATAGGACATAATTTTAAATTAATAAATGTATTAGTACCAAAAAAAAAAAAAAAGTTGCCAGCGAGTTGATTCCAATTCGTAGTGACCCTCTAAGACAGAGGAGAACCGCCCTATAGTGTTTCCAAGGCTGTAATCTTTACGGGAGGAGACTGTTGCATCTTTCTCCTGTGGAGTGGCTAGTGGGTTTTAACCGCCAACCTTTCAGTTAGCAGCCAAGGGCTTAACCACTGTGCCACCAGGGATCCTGTATGAGTATACTCCCACATAATTCTTCAAAGTAGAATGTCATGTAATCTATACAACCACCAAGATTACAAACAGAACAAGCATTAACATTTCATTTTTTTCTGATTTTAAGTGACTTATCCAAAATCATATAGGTACTAATGGGAGTGCCAAAATCTGAATCCATGTCTTTTGATTCCTACCCCAATGTACTTTTTCCGTAACAACACTCTGTCCTCATTGGTAAGCATTTTTGGGATTGTACAGTCTCACAGGACTGTGACGGTGGCCCTTCTACAGAGGGATGAACCCAAGGAAACATGGGAGAAATACTGACCTTTTTATGACAACTTTTCATTACCCGCTGTAGAGAATAAGAAAGTAACCTACTATAGAGAGCCCAATCCCTAAGACTCTCTGAATACCTTGTAATCCCTGTAGAATCTGTATTCTATGGGTCCTCAGTGCACTCATCTCCATAGTTATCTAAAAATAAAGCATTTTGTTAAGTATTTTAAAATCCAGCTTCAGAGATGATCTACGTTCAGTAAATGGTCCACCTACTGTTACCTGTTGCTTGAGCATAAGGAGTCTCTGGACTTCCACGTAAGCTGTCTGAAGCGCTGCACGAGCTTGCAAAAGGTTGCTATCCATGCACTGCAGAGATTTGCTCAGTTCTTCCTCCCTTAAAGAAATATTCAGCAGCTGGTCAACCTGAGAACGTTCTGCCAAAAGAAACCGTAATGCTCTGTTTAGTATTGGAGACTTTAACAACACAACTCCTCAGAAAATGGAACTACATAAATTACTTAGTGTAAGTCATTATTTTCTCCCCAACAGGTCACTGGAGAGTCATCAAATCTCATAAATCATACAGTCAAGCCTGATATTATCAGATCGAGAAATCTGTCAGAATTGGTAATGTGGAGGTTTCTCACAGGTTCAAGTGTACCACCACATGGTGCCATCTTGCATAATTGTCATCTTCCACGACTACCTCTGTCCAAGGCAAATCAACTGTCCTAGGTTTCATTTCCTACTCTTCCTTTAAATACTACTCTCTTCACTGAAGGTTTTTGCTTAGACTCGGCCCCAGTCATGAACTGCTTGTACTTTCCTCCCAATTCATATTTTTCTAGTCTGTTAGTTAACTTAAAAGGTGCTCTTTAAAAAGGTTTAAACACAGAAGAAAACATTCTTTGGTGGTTAAGAGGGGGAGGGGGAGGGAGAGAGGTATTCACTAACTAAACAGTAGACAAGAATTATCTTAGGTGAAGGGAAGGACAACACACAATACAGGGGAAAGTCAGCACAACTGGACTAAACCGAAAGCTAAGATGTTTCCTGATCACAACCAAACACTTCAAGGGACAGAGTAGCAGGGGAGTACAGGGGGTGGGGGGGAATCTGGGGACCACAGTTTCAGGGGACATCTAGGTCAACTGGTGTAACAAAGTTTATTAAGAAAATGTTCTGCATCCCACTTTGGTGAGTGGCATCTGGGATTTTAAAAGCTAGCGAGCAGCCATCTAAGATGTATCAATTGGTCCCAACCCACCTGGAGCAAAGGAGAATGAAGAACACCAAAGACACAAGGAAAAATTAGCCCGAGAGACAAAAAGGGCCACATAAACCAGAGTCTCCATCAGCCTGAGACCAGAAGAACTAGATGGTGCCCGGCTACCACCAATGACTGCCCTGACAGGGAACACAACAGAGAGTCCCTGACGGTGCAGGAGAAAAGTGGGGTGCAGAACTCAAATTCTAGTAGAAAGACCAGACTTAATGGTCTGACTGAGACTGGAGGAACCCCGGAAGACATGGCCCCTGGACTCTCTGTTAACCCAGAACTGAAACCATTCCTGAAGCCAACTCTTCAGACAAAGATTAGACAGGACTATAAGACATAAAATGATACTCATAAACAGTGTTCAAATAGATACATGAGACTAAATGGGCAGCTCCTGTCCAGAGGTGAGATGAGAAGACAAAAAGTGATCAGAGCTGGTTGAACGGACACGAGAAATCCAGGGTGGAAAGGAGGAGTGTGCTGTGTGCTGTCACATTATAGGGATAGGAACTAGGGTCACATAATAATGTGTGTATAAATTTTTATATGAGAAATTAACTTAAGCTATAAACTTTCACTTAGAGCACAGTTTAAAAAAAAAAGGTTCTCTTTATTCGAGGCTTCCTGAAGAAATTACAGCTTTGAAATAGTACATTTAACTTACCTTTAATAAAATGTTCTACTGAGTGTATGCATTTATCATATTTACGTTTGTGTCTTTCCCATTCAATACGCAAAGACTGCTCTCCTAAATGTCAGACCCACATATTCAACTACCAACCTGATATCTTTACCAAGACCTCTCAAAGGTCCTTTAACTCAAAGTATCCAAAAGGGAACTCGTCATCTTCCTCTACCCTCGGTCTGTTCCTCTCATGGAGTTTTCTAGCTCTACAAATGATATCATCTACCCAGTTGCTCCAGTCAGAAACCTGGAGGTCATCCTTGACCCCTGCCTTATCCATCACACCCAATCACCCGAGGTTCAGCCAATCACTTCCTGCACTAATCCTTATACTGGAACTGGGTCAGAGTCCATGGAAAGCAAGAGTCATAGAAATGTATCAGCAGAGCAACTAGGGTCACATAACAATGTGTGTATAAATTTTTGTATGAGAAACTAACTTGAATTGTAAACTTTCACTTAAAGCACAATTAAAAAAAAAAAAAAAAAGCAGCGAGGGAGCCACTCTAAGGACTTCTCTCCTTAATTCACATTAGAACAGCAACCAAGATGCCTCAAAACTGCCAAGGGAAAGAAGTGGTCATAAATGACCAAGACGGGCAAAATTTTTACTAAATGGCCTGTTCTCCTTCATCTCACTGAAAAGGCCCAATTACACTTTCTGGCTTTATACTCAACCCAAGGGATGTATTTAGCTTACAGGTCTATGAGGCATCATATCTTTCTTCTATAGCTACAGCTGAATGTAATAGGAAATCAAACTTTTATTTGCCCTTAAGTAAAACAACAATAATGTCAAGAAACTAATAAACGAGCAGTGTTTGGTAATCACAACCTATGCTCTGTGTCAAGCTGTAAAAAGGCTGACTTGCTATAAGAGCAATCTCTGCCAGAATATGCTGCACCATACCTTTTTTTCCTTTAATTTTCCTTCTTTTGTTTTTTCTCTCAAGACTTGGGAGTTCAGGAGAAGATCCATCCTGAGGGGATGAAAAAAATTAAATGTAAAGGCTATTCTCCAGTAAGGAGCCCTAGTAGCGCAGTGGTTAAGTGCTCAGTTGCTAACCAAAAGGTTGGTGGTTCGAACCCACCAGCCACTCTGCAGGAGAAAGATTTCAGCTTATGGGGCAGTTCTTACTCTGTACTATATGACCACTGTAAGTTGGAACCGACTTGATGGCAATGGGTTTGGCTTTTTTTTATTATTCAGGATGGGAAAAAAGAGTCATTTCTAAGACAGTCCTACATTATCCTTCATTACTGCTATCGTCTCTAACAGGATAGTAGCAGTCTCATGCATATGGTACAAACTCAAATATTAGCTGAATAAATATATCTGATAAAAAAAAAATAGAATCCAAGGCTAAGTACCCTCCCAGCTCCTAGAGGTGGTAAGGCCCATGCTAAAATGATTTAGGCAAACTATTCCACTTTGGTGAAGCAAGGCATAGACAGAAGTATGGACAAAGCAGTGATACACACATCACATTTGATTTCCTCTTGGCATAGTTTCTACTTTAAATTTCAGGAAGAAAACCTTTACAACAAAAAGCTAAACAGTCTATGAGACAAGCCCAAAGATATAACTTTTGTCATAGGATAATCTCTAAGTTTAAAGTGTACTTCAAATTATCCGACAATGTCCACTACAGTGTCCAGCTCAAAGAGGCAGAGTTGGGATTTGAATGTAGGTCTAAAGCTCATGCCCTTTACTGCTCTACCATATTGCCTCAGAATAAAAGGAAACAGCCCGTTTTCTCATAGTGCCAGATTCCAGACAGGCAACTCTGTCTTTTCAGAAAGGGTTCCTGAAACAGTTAAGTAGTAATAGGAACACAGATGCCAGAAGAGCAGACGTGGTGTCAGGGAACAGATTCTTAAAGGGCCAGGCTGGGTAACCGAATCACAAAAGATTACAGAGTAACAGAGACTTAAGGTATTTCTGAGACCATGCTCATTTACATGCACTCTAATAGTCTAAAACACCTTGTGTTAAGTCTAGCAGTCCTCAGCCAACAATCATACATGCCCTACGAATGCAACATTAGAGTGCCTTTGTTCAGTAGCAGTACAGAGTGCGTCAGGAAAACAGATGAAGTTACAGCTAAAGATGTGGCTTATTCCTCGGTCAAGTGATACAAAAAATCATTGGCTTGGAGACTAGTTTTAGTGATGACTTCATGTCTTCCTAGTACTGCACATTCATATTAGATTACATCTAACTTAGTAGAATTAGACACCCGTACGATAAGAACACAAACGTAAGAGGGAGGGCTTCACGATTCTTCTGTGCCAGCCGTGGACAGAGGGGAGAGCCACAACCCCAGACACCCAAGAAAAGTTACACTTAACCCTTTCTTACAACAGACAAACCACCACATTAGATGTTCTACAAGGAGCACAGGGAATCATACTCACTCCAGTAGCTCTTCGTTTCTTTCTAATACTCTGGCCGTCAGTTTGTTCAGCACCAGAGGTGCAGCTACTATCTGTGGCCGCATCCACCAGACTGGAGTTTGCAAGGGCGGAAGACAGATTTGATGACGCGGAGTTTCCTTCTCCATTACTCTCTTGGCCATTCGGAGTCTCTGAAGCAGGTGCGGAACTCTCCTGGCTGCTCAGGTCTTTTGCCGAATGCACCAAAGGTATTGTACAGTCAGAGGGTAACTGTGTGCTATGTCGCCTTCGGATAGCAACATTTTCAGCCATCTCCCCTGTTCTCAGAGAAGCAGCCACAGGTATCATTTCCTGTTTAAAGCCCGCAGTCACTTTCTGACTCTGTGTAGCCCTCAACGAGTTCCCAGGTGAAACAACCAGCTGGGGCTCATTCTCTTTGCCCGTGCCTTCCTCACTGAAGAAGCTGTACACAGAAGGAGCCCTGTCCATGATCACGCTGCTCTCAGAAAGGCTTCGCTTCCTTGCCAACCCAGGGGATGAGGAAATAGAAATACCTTCCCACTGGAATCCTTCTAGATTGGACAGATCAGCCTCCCCATCCAAATCCAAGCCCTCTTGTTCATTTTGAACCAGGGGCACCATTTCTATGCCAAACCTTAAGAAAGAAAAAGGAGAAAAAAAAAAGGCATAACTCAGATGTGGTTTGTGGGGCATTTATAATTTGGACTTGGTCGGGGTGGGTGGCATTTAATGTGCCAGGCACTAAGCCCCAGGGTGACAAACATGAGTAAGATGGTTCCTACCCTTAAGGAGCTCACAGTCTAATGAGAGATCCAGGTGTAAACGAAATAACTATCATAAATATTATAACGTGACAAGTGCTAAATTAGAGATGTGTACACAGCTATGAAAATACATTTGAGAGTAAATAATCTTGGGTTTTATTTACTATGGAGCTCTAAACCAATAGTAATAAATAAATCATTTTAAAAGCAGCAAATAAACCAAAATAACAACAACGAAAAACTTCTGTAGAGTATTCCTAAGGGTTAGGCACTACAGTAAGAGTTCTCAAGTAATACAAAGAATGGGAAAGGAAAAAGGGGCAAAATGACTCCATTATTTCAACATGGACAGAAATATCCCCAAGCCTGGGAAGCTGTATAATTACAGTGTTGCAGAATTAGGATTTTCAAGCAGCAAACCTAGGCTGAACATTGCTTTACCATTCAGAAAAGCCTATTACCTCACTATAAGATGAACAGCAAAAGTATTACCAAAGTGCTCAAGAGAAAACATTCTGTGATCATAAATATAATGCCCAGAGTACACACAGAAGGGTAACTATCCTGAGTAGAAGGTAATGGAACAATTATACTTAAAAGTTGTACCACTCATTCCAGGATTGAGATCTAGAAACAGGTAGGGATTTATATACATTTCTATGCTGTCAATTTCTAGTCCCTATAACCAAAGTGATGGATTTCAGGTGATTTCTTTCTATGTACTCCATCTTATTTCTCAGAAATAGCCATGCCTCTTTTTTAACCTGAATTCCCTTCTAAGAAACACTCTATCTGTCATAGATTAGCGGCCATTCTTTATATTTAATACGTTTACACCAGACTTCCACAATGTATATATTTTGTAAGCATTTAGTTAAATGTAACAAGTAGAATTCTCTTGACCAGGGTCAAAGGGTAGCATGAAAAGAAAAAAAAGTGTGTGGGGGGGGGATAACAAAGAAAGAAGCACACACCTGGGTAAGCCTTTGCCCAGTTCTTGCTTTTTCTTGGTTACTTGCTGAATGACCTGTTCCCAGTTGACATTTCTCCGAGATGCATTCAGAATCTGCCTAAGGGTTGGCTTGAGCCCAGACTCCTTCTCTGTCTCACTCTTCCGGTGGCCGCTGATGTTGCGAATGCGACGGGCACTATTGAGGTTTGGCTCAGGAAGGTGTGCTCCAGTTTTGCTCTTCAAACTAATGTGCCGGGTTAGATCTCTCTGGAGAGAGGCGGGAAAGCCAAGCTTACTTAGTTCAGGCAAGAGAGGGCCTGAGGGCTGACCTATGTCACTTTTTTGAAGCTCTGCATCCAAGCTAGTACTCTCAAAGCCTTCTGTTTCATAAGATACATGAGATTTGACAGGGTCATCAACCTGCGTATCTTCTAGAGAGGTTTTCAGGTCCAGCAATAAGCTGGGGTGTGGACTGCCTGCAGATGTCATTTGTAACTCTGATTCTTTCTTGTGAACTATGGAATTACATGGAGAAGTGGATAGTTTTCTACATGTTTTCAGGATTTGGTCATCGCCCACTTTCTCATCAGCAGGACGAGTGCTGCAGGATAAAACTTCAGTGGTTGCAGAACCCAGGGTTCCGATTGTTGTTCCGTGCTTTTCAGTGTCAGATATCTCCCCACCACTTTCATCTTCTAACGTATGCACCTGAAACTCAATCTTCAACGATCCTTTCTCAGACTCTTCTACATTTCTACTTGCTTTCGCATAGCTCCTGGTCCTCTTAGAAGTGGGAAGTGATGGTTTTTGCGCTGACTCATGACACGGTAGCACCTCTTTGGCTTTTTGTAATGTATCACTTACATTTTCACTGGGCTCCCTTTGAGCCCCAAATGTACTTTTATTATTCCCTTTTAAAACACTACGCAATTTGGGTACATAAGGAGAACTATGATTGTCTTCTACAATGGGTTTATTCAAGGGATGTGAATGTTCTCCAGGAAAAAAAGAATTAGATTTGATGTTTCTCGAGGGATTCTTTGAATCTTGTTTTTGAGGAATTGATTTAGTGCCTGGAACTGGAAGGCGTATGGATTTCAGTGATGGCATCTTACTTGAGATATGCTCTTGTTCCGGTTTTTCTGTAATGGGGCAATCTCTTACCACCTCATAGGAAACTGTGCAGTCAGAAGTGGCTTTGTGATGAAAAGATTCTAAACGTGTTTCCTTTTGTGTTTTCAGCACTGGAGAATTACTTGTTACATCAGTTTGGGCCTCTTTTGTTCCTGTAGTTATCAAGTTAAAATCAAAGAAAGGCTTATCTGTCTTCTCTGACTTGTTACCAGCGACATCTTTCACCGCAGACTGTGAATCCAGAGTCTTCTGGGAAGGGTAAGGAGTCCAGCGACGGAGCTTTTCCTTTGCTACACTGCCATTCCTTCCACCAATTTTTGGAGCTATGGTGTCTGTTTGTTTAGTGGTTGGGCTTTCCAGCTGCTCAAAATTAAAGTCAAATAAGCCTTCTGAAGAAAAATTATCATTTGCAAATCCTTCAGGAGAAGGGTATGTGGCAACTGTACCAACTTTGTCATTTTCTTGCCGTTGACAATTATATCTCTCTTGGTTGTATTTGTTTGACTTATTAGACTTCTTGTTCCATACTAAAGTCATGTCTTCCATTTGACAATTAGAATTTCTGTTTCTGCCTGGTTGAAATTTGTCTCCGGGGCCATTGTAATTCCAACTATTTGTACCACGTACACTGGATTTCCAGTTTCCGTTACTGCTATTCATATGCCAACTGGAAAAGCCACCTGTTCCTTCAGAATGCCAACTGGAATTCCTTCCTGTACCATTATGATTCCAGTCTACTGTTCCGCTATTTGAATGCCAACCACCTCCAGAATTACTGTGGTTGTGAAACCAAGCTGAGGAGCCTCCTCCAACACCCTTATGCCACCCAGAACATCCTCTTTGTCCACCACTGTTCCTTGAAGGATGTGGAAAGCTGTTTTTCCTAGTATTACTAAAGCCATCTTTCTCCCATTTCCAGTCTCGCTGAGGAGGTGCTCGATGGTGCCATGCTGGCTGGCTGTAACCCTCCCTGTCTTGGTAAGGAAACCGGTCTTCTCGTCTCCATTGGGGTCGCCTGTCATCAGGGTTGATTTCTTGGCTGCTACTGGAAGCTTCATCTTGTCTGGAAGAAAAACAGCTTTTCTTCAGTGACTGAAAGGATTTCTTATGCTTCCTTTAAAGCATAACCCACCAAACTTCCCCCTACTCCTCTTCCTTATTACTTAGAATATGTAATAGAGGCTGCTTTTATTTCTAACAGTTGTTGCTTTCATATCTTTAAATCATACACTTAAACCTATACTTCTCAATTTAACTTAGAAATTAAACAGTACTTGCTTCCCCTATGGCTCCCAGAAATACTAAAAAATTAACACATTTGTGACATCCTCCCTGTCTCACTTCTGTTTTTTGGGAATGCTCTGGGATTTTGTTCCTATCTATCATCCAATTATTATTTTTACACTATATAGCTTTTTCAATTATATTTTATAGGCCATGGTTAGTTATTGTAATTAATACGATTTTATGTTCAGCTGCCCTTAATACTATGATTTCTCCAGTTGTAAGTTCTTTCTGAAAAACCCAGTTCCTTAACCTATTTTAAATGTTTTAAGATTTTACTTCTGCATAGTCACTTTCATAATGAACACTTTATTAAGCACCCATCATATTTAAATCAGTGAGTATTACTGGTAAAGGAAAAACTTTCATGTATAGTTCCCGTTCCTGAAGGGCTAGAACCTAGCCGAGCAAATTAAGGTCACAAACAGGAGTAAAATAGCACACCCCAAGTAAGTGCTACCCACAAGAAGGGCTATAAGGAGCTCCATGAGCTAGAGGTTTTCTATAAAGAAGCCACAGCTGTTTACACTATTCATGTTAGACAAGGAGCCCAAAGAAATACGAATGAATTTAAACATCACAGGCATAGGTATAAAGTCATTTTCCTCTAAAAACTGCCTATGGTGCGTCTACAAAAACTCCATTGCTGTCAAGCCAATTCCGACTCACAGCGACCTTACGGGACAGAGTATAACTGCCCCGTAGGGTTTCCAAGGAGGAGCTGGTGGATTCAAACTGCCAACCTTTTTGGTTAGGAGCCGAGCTCTTAACCACTGCACCACCAGGGCTCTAGCACAGATCAGAAAAATGGAATAACACTAACTAAAATGTACTGAGTACCTACTAAGTGTCAGACATTTAATGCTAAGCACTTTTATACAGATAATTTCATTGAACACTTACAACCCTGAAGCATGTACTCTTATTACTCCTACTTTTTAGATAAGGAAACTGATGTGAAGGAACCTGCCCAGAGTAAGACAGGCAGTAAGTGGCAGAGCAGAGACGTGAACCTTGGCATTTGACTCTAGAATTTCTACTCTTAGCCATTAGGCCTTGACAGAATAAAAATCCCAAAGTGTCTGTGATTTGAACTTGACTTCAATCTTAAACTCTGTACTGACTTTAATTAGCTTTTAAAAACTTCTAATGTATGTAAGATTGGGGATATGAATTAGAATCTCTTCCTTTTTCTCAAGATGGAATTAAAAGTTAACTTATCTAAAAGTTCAAGTATCCATTTACATTATGAATTACAACCATTCTAAACAGGAGACCCTAAGTTCCCAAGTGACAAGTCCTATCACACACACGCAGGATTTTTATCACCCTGGTAGCACAGTTGTTAACTGCTCGGCTGCTAACCAAAAGGTTGACAGTTCGAATCCATCAGCCGCTCCTTGGAAATCCTATGGGGCAGTTCTACTCTGTCCTATAGGGTCACTATGAGTTGGAATCGACTCAATGGCAACGGGTTTGAGTTTT